GTCGTCATCCTCAGAAACACGTCGTCGAACTAGAGGAAGCGGGAGTTTTCAGGTGAGCTGCTCACGCCACTGGTGGGAATGTGTTTAACTCTGATCAATCTCAGGATGCTGCCAGGGCTTCATTGGAAGAAGCGCTGACATCGATGCTAGCGGAGGCTAAACAGTTCCCGGCGGCCCTCAGCGAGGACAGGGAATTCCTTGATGTCTTGAGAAAGAGCAGCGCAGGTTCCTCTATTCTCAAGGAGGTGAGTCCAAACGTTTGTAACTCCTGGGCAAAAGGTGTCCCCAATTTTCTGAGCCAAACGCATTGCGGCTGGCAGGTATCTAGAGGTTCCACATCACGTCGGCCTAGGCAAGAGGAAAATAATGCCGACAGTTCACGTGCGGAATCGGAACCGGAAGAGACTGACCGAGAGCGGGTGAGTGTGATACGGATTGTCCTGTTCTGTGATCACCATGTGTGATAGGAGCTACGCTATATTCGATGGAAAAGACGCGTAGAGGGTATGTTCGAGGCGATACGGGAAGCTAAGCGCCATAGCGAGCTGCGGGCGAAGCTCGCTGAGTGTCGAGAGCCCATGCAGGAGCTGTCTCAGTGAGTCTTTCCCTGTTGGATCATCTCCAAAAGCATTGCCCTCCTGTCAAGGGCCGAGTATCTTATTGCTCGTGGAGATCTGAGCGCGGGGGGCAAACCCTTAGTCCCGGACAGGCCTCGTGCTGAGAATTTACAGGTTAGTCGGGCTACTCAACACTCACTCGATGATGCTGCTTTCTGCTGAACTCCTACTAGTTCTACCTTGCGGCGTTAGTAAGGAGTTCTTCTTCCACTCAGATACGGCGTGAGAGTTCCTTCCGTTCTCGGCGATACAGGCGAGTCGCAGGCAGATCCATCATGTGTATTCTTTTCTTCCGACAGGCCAACAGTGACTGAGATTTCACCCGAAAGAATATGGAAAGCGAGAGAGAAGGCGTACTCGCTACGTCGTAGCTCTGGCACTGCTAGGCCTAGTTTATATGCCGATCCGAATGAGCTGGTACTGCTCAGCTTGAGATCAACTGAACAACCGAAAGCCA